AAAAATCAACTATATATGTATATATTATATATAATTAATTATTCACATAGGAACAAATATAAGGAAAACCATATTATTGGTATTTTCCAAGTATTACTATTCAAGAATTATAGCCATTTTTCTTTTTCATTAATTTTAGAGCTGTCTTACATTATTTTTTCTTACATTTTTAATTTTAATCTGGATTTATTTTGTTATTCTTTTTATAGTCTTTTAATTAGGACATAAAGTATAAGAATATTAAGTCCATTAGTAATGCTTTTATAGTGTCTCATACTTTTTGGTGTATAGTAGTTTTATTATCATTGTTTCAATGTACTTTCTAATACATTTAGGATTTTTTTCAATGATCTGAATTATTCAATAGAATATTTTAAAACTTCCAAGTATATAAGTGATTAAAATTAGTTTTGTAAGCTTATTTTCAACTTAAACCTAATCAGTGAAAGATACAGTTTTGTTATGTCATGATGTTTTGAAATTTACAGATACTAATTTTATGGCTCATTAAATGACCAGTATTTTACAAATACTCCATATGTCTGTAAGAACTGAATTCTGCATTTTAGAGTATATCTGTTTCATAGAGTATGCTTATTAATAGACATATTTGCATCTTATATATCTAGGGCTGAAGAATATATCTCAGTGGTAAGATGTTTATATAGCATGTGTAACATGCAGGATAATCCTCAGCACTGGAAAACAAAAACATAAATCTTACACATCTTCATTAGTTTTTTGTCAGCTTGGTCTATCCATAACTGAGAAAGTAATAGTAAACATCTTGTTATGGTGGGGGAGGTATTTCACTGTGAAGTTTTATCAATCTTTGTATGTTCAGAGGATGTATGACTAGGTAAGGGCTAAAATTCTATATGTTATTGGTGGAACATAGCATTTCATATTATATTATTCAAAGCCTTTGCCATACTGTAATTCAGATCATGTATCCTAACTATGTTTCCATTTTGACACATCACTCCTGCATCATAGCTTCAGAGGATGTTGATACTCACTGGGGTATATTTTCTCTTCCCCACAGAGATCCATATTCAGCTCTCTTTCTTGAGTATTTTGTTTTCCTTCATTTAAAAAAGAGCAAGTTTTTTGGGGTGGTTATAAGGATCAGCGGGTCAAAGTCCTTTGTTTGCAAGACCAATGATTTGTGTTCAGTCCCAGATTGCTCACAGAAAGAGAGGACTGCCATAGCTGTCCTCGAACTTCTGCATGCACAGAATGATATGCATGCACCTACACACACACACACACACACACACACACACACACACACACACATGCGGGCATTAGACTTTCTTCATGACCCCCCCCCACTTCACTTCTCATGCCTCTGTTGTGTGTGGGTGTATTTCTTTTAATAATCATCTTGGGAAGTTATCAACATTTTAAAATCTCAAAAATGGTGCCTTTTTCAGTTCTAGAATATTCTTGACTCTTTTCAATTTGGAGTTGCCTTTATCCTTTCTTGGTGTTCCTCTTTCAGGAGCTCTGAATAGAGATACAGTGTTCTAACCCTGCCTTCAATATTTAAGTTCTACTTCCCATTTCTCTTCTTTGTAACTGGTGTTACGTCTGGCTGATTTTTAAACTCATGAATTTCCCTTTCAGTCAGCAGCTTATAATTTGTGTTCAAACATTATATTAATGTTATATTAATATTAAATTTCTCATTTCAGTGGTATATTTTTCATTTCTAAAAGTTTTATTTAGAAGTTTTGAAAATCTTCCCTGGTCAGCATTTTTAAATAATCTTTTATTCTAGATTATACAGTTGCCTTTTTTTCCTGTCAGCATATTTGTTTCGTACACTTGACTTGATGACACCAATGTTTGCTGTTCATGGAGCATTATTTTGGTAAGTTGTATGTGCCTTCTTATGGCTGGTGATGTAGTTCAGTGGTTGAGTGCCTGCCATGCATGTGTGAGTTCCTGTACTAATAACAAACAATTAAAAAAAAAACTTCTCTCTCTCCCTCCTTCTGTCTCCCCTTTATGCAATACTTTTGTGAGACTGAAATTTAGAAGTCATTATTTCAGAGATTTTTTTTTCTTTCTGTAAGTAAATATGGAGTAAGATCACTTAATAGTTGACTTTTGGAATTTATGGACTAAGTAGGCAGCATTAGTTAATTTCTTTCCCAGCTAAGAGTAATGATGCATCCATACTTGGGGAATTACTAGAAGACAGTTTCTCTGTCTTTCCAGGTCTAGAAAGTCATGTCCAGACTGAGCAAATACTCTCCCATAACCTTATGCTCCTTCTTCTTTGCTGACTGATTGAAACAGAGATAATTCATCGCCTGTGAGGATTCTAGGCTCTGTATGGTTGATTCTCCTCCCACATGTCCACTGAGGGCTCCTTAAATGGTAATTTTGATTGTTCTCTGTGATTGTGGTTCATTAAAGTCTGTGCTGTATGTCATCATGGCTGCTCCATTATGTCTCTGGACACCTCTAGAAGCTCCTAATTCTCTGACAAATCAATCATGCACTTAGAAGTTATTTTGAAAACTCCATCCAATGGGTGCATTTAATGATTAGACTGTGGTTTCTAAATACCATTTTGGAAACGTGGCTTATCCAGGACTAGCTCAGAGAAAATATACAGTGAGCCTTATACTTCCTCTTGTGTCAGAATCAAATAAGCTCTGAAAGAATAAATATGTTTCAGGGAACCAGGAACTAGTTGTGCATCACTCAAACATCAAAAAGGATACCAGGTTAGCTCAGTGGTAGAGTGCTTGCCTAGCAAGCACAAGGCCCTGGGTTCGGTCCTCAGCTCCAAAACAAACAAACAAACAAACAAACAAACAAACAAACAAACAAACAAACAAACAAAAAAGGATACCAGGAATAATTGACTCTGACCACTGAATACATAAGATTCAACTACAGTATTAGATCTCTCTCTGTCTTACACACACATATACCCCCCACCCCCACATATGTATGTATGTATGTATGTATGTATGTATGTATGTCTGTTATCAGGGATTGAACCTAGGACCTTAGGCATCAAGTCAAGAGCCCCACCATGGAGTTACATTCCCCAGCAGTTATATGTATTATAATAAAGGCATTTTTTATAATAACTCCTCATACTTGGAATTAGTAATTAAAGAGAAGGCTAACTATCTGGTTCAAGCTTTTCAAAAGATGATTATTTCAAGCCATGGTAATGAAATATGCTGTTTAAAAATGAAACATAACCACAGTCCCAGCCTAAAAATGGTAGTCATGCAAAAAGAGGGTACAAGAATTATAAAATGATCATTTTCGAAGCCCTGAGTAAAAGTTTAGAAAAGGACCATAATGAAAGGCTAAAAATCATTAGAAGAGCAGGGTGCAGTGGTGCACACCTTCAATCCCAGCACTCGGGAGGCAGAGACGGGTGAATCTCTGTGAGTTCGAAGCCAGCCTGGTCTACAGAGAGAAATCCATGACAGGCACCAGAACTACACAGAGAAACCCTGTCTCAAACAACAAAAACAACAACAACAACAAAAATCATTAGAAGAAATGTTCTTGAGTTCTCAGAGATGGAAGCATGATCCCCAAACTCAATTGGAATTGTAGAAGGAAGAAAAAATTGCCTGACTGCAGAGGTATTCTGCACCCACCATCTTCATGGATGGACTAAAAACAGCCCCCCAAAATGAGTAAGTGGTATAGGATTTGCAAAGAAGTCATGCTCTACATACCACCCTGAACCAAAATGAAGCCTAGATACATAACTTTCAATGTGCCAGACACTACATGTGCTAATAAAAAATTAAAAGTATGGGAGGGCCGGGAGTACTGGCTCAGCAATTAAGAGCCCTTGCTGGTTCAATTCATGACTTCCACATTAGGCAGCTCACACTGCCTCTAACTCCTGTTCCAGGGGGTCTGACACTCTTTTCTGGCTTCCCCAGGCAACTGCACACATGTAGTGCATGTACACTCAGGCCCACATACTTACACATAAAATAAAATATTTTCTTATATTATTTCTTTTATTTTGAGATTATAATACAATTACATCATTTTCTTTTTTCCCCTTTCCTTCCTTCAAATCCTCACACATATCTGCCTGCTCTCTTTCAAATTCATGGTCTTTTCTTTGATTTATTGTTTGTACACACAAACATACATACACACAAACATAAATACAACTTTCTTAGTCTGTATAGTGTTACTTGAATGTATATGTCTTTAGGGATGAGCATTTAGTATTGGATAACTAATTGGTGTGCTCTTCTCTGGGGAAGACTATTTCTCTTTCTCTCCACATCCCTTAGTCACTTGTAGTTCTTTATACAGAGTTGAGGCCTCATGCATTTTCACCTTCCACATTAGCTTGTCTATTACATTGTGCCTGTTCAGCTCATGTTTGGGTAGTCACGTTAAGTGAGATTTATATTGGTGTAGCTTCTGACATTCTTAGGAGATACAATCTCATAGCAAACCCCCTGATCTCCTGGCTTTTGCAATCTTTCTGCCCATGCTTTCAAAGTGATTCCAGAGTCTCAGATGTGGGGGTGTTTTATAGATGTATCCATTGGGGCTGGGTTTCACAACTCTGTAGTGGGTAGCTGTTCCAGCTTTGACCTTGAAGCACCACCTCAGTGAGGCAGTTGTTAACTGCCATGCCTACCTATGACCTGCCCCTGGGGCGTGGCCAAGATGGGAGCCCTTAAGACCCAAGATATGTCTGAGCTGGCCCTCTTGGCTCCTTGTGATCCTGGGTGCTGGATGGTAGACCCAATCAGAGTTCTCCAGAGAACCCCGCTGGACTGCACTTCACCTCTCCTGGATCCTATAACCAACCCCTTTACTGGCTGTAAGTTACCCCAAAAATAAACCTTCTTTTAACTTCGTGGAATTGCCTTGTTAAATCCCCACATTACAACCCTTTTTGATTGGCTGTGGCTTTTCTGTATGGTTTCCATATTTTGCAAAGAGAAGTTTCCTTGATGAGGGGTGAAGACTATACTTACCTGTATATGTAAGGACAATTATTTAGAATGCAGTTAGGGATGCTGGTTTAAGTTCTCCTCCAAGTGGTGGATGTAAGTTCTCCTCCAAGATTCATGACTACACTAGCCCTGGATGGTTGGCTAGGTTTCCAGTACCAGGCATGAGTTTCCTCTTGTTGAGTGGACTGTAAATCCAATTAAGGAGCTACTGATTATGTTCTATTGAATTTTGTACCTTAAAGGAGAAAGATGAGAGAGAAACAGAAAAATAAAGTTTTGATAATACAAGAAGTATAAGATAATAGAGTTTTATGTACTTGAAACAAATTAGATGTGAAAGCAGAGAATTTTAGGTCCAGATGAATAAACCCCAGACGAAAGATCTTCAGCTATGAGTTAAATAGCTGTAATAAATGAGAAACATGTAACTATTTGAATACAAATTGAGGAGGACTCCACAGTAGTTTATTTTCACTGTGATTTATTTTTCACAGATGCATGTATTAACAATCTTTGAATCATTGTATATAATATATAAAAATAATAATTACATTGTAAATAATGAGAATGGAAAGTAGTTACACATAATAAAATAACAATTAATTATGTGATAGTTGACTTCAAATACTATAGAAATATCAATATTAATTAACTGTAAAAAGATACATAATAGATAGACAATGATGATTATGATTGACAGAGGTGGATGCAGATGATGATAATGAGGGATAAATAGATGGTGAGGATGGGTATATGATAGATAATAGATAGATGATACATTATATATAGTGATGATAATGATACCTGGATAGTTAGGTAAATGATAGAGGATAGATAGATGATGCTGATGTTAGATTATAGATGATAGTTGATACATAGATGTTAGATGATGACTAGATATATAATTATGGTCGTGATAGATTAGTAGATAGATAGACTGACTCATTTGCAGTCATGAAAATTAAACAGATGTGGTAAGGATGCTTTTCAGCTCTTTCCATTTGAAGGGTTTCTAGAAGCAAGTGTTATCTAGTACCATTGTGCACATACAATGCCAGTATCTGGGGTTTTTTTTTAGTAAAATTAAACCTGTGATTATTCAAGAAATCTCAGATTCCAGCATTGCAACAGAGAAAATACAAAATAAACCTGGAATATCTTGAGGGTATCAGATGGTAAAGAAACATAAAAAATAATAAAAGCACATTGAAAAGACTGGAATACCCAGAGACCACATCTTTGGAAATTAGAGAACTGAGGTAAATGGCATCAAGCAAGTATAACTCACAGAGCAAAATATTTCTAGGAGGTCATTCTCATATCAATATGAAGTTGAATATAAATTTAAAGGAAAGAAAAATTTCTTTCTAATATTGTAATATCAATACAATGATGTAGAAAAGATGTATTTTGGTTTTTTAATTGTCATTTGGTGAGTATTATAGTAGTAATTACTGCAAGCAAAAATCATTAATGGAAGCTAAAATGAACAGGGAACAAGGAACATGGGAAACAAAACACTTTCATAATTTTAAAACATTTCTCATACGATAATTTAGTCATTGTAGGGGAAAATGAGTGACCTCAGAGGAGAAGCCAAGTATTTACTCCATTATCCCAGGGACCAACTTTAACAGCACTCTTATCAACACTTTGATGTGAAGGTTGATATTTGGATCATAAATCTTCCCCCAAGACTCAGGTATTGAAAGCCAGGTCCTCAGATGGCTCTGTTGGATAGTGCTGAACTTCTAAGAGGTGGGGCTTAATGGAAGATCATTGTGAGAGATCTAAATTTTCCCCATTTTACAGCCGGATCTAGGTTTCAGTTTTTAAAGAGCAAATAATTTTTTTCCCAACAAAGGGCCATTAGTTAACAACGCCTGACAGCAGAAATGAGGAGGGAGGCACATACCAGGCCTGAGCCAGCCCCTACAGTATCGTATCTTAAGACAGTGACCGAAAAGGACAGTTCCTGTAACCCTCTGAAACAGGCCCAGACTTGACCCAGGATGCCCAAAGATGGAAAAACTAAAACCTCAGCCAATCAAAAATATACCAGTATAACTGCTGCTTGTTGACCAATCATGTTTGAGATGACCTAACTGTTCCTGAATTTCCCTAGCTGTGCTTAAAAGGAGCCTCTAAGTTACTCTCAGGGTCATCGCCATTTTGGAGAGGTGAGCAACCCCGCATACGCTGGTCAATAAACACTCTGCTTCTGCACACTATTTGAGTCTGGAGTCTTCCTTCAGCATTTTCTTGGACCCCTATAATTGGGTATACCCTGAAGGAGATATGGGGTCGATGTCCTTTCCCCTAGGTTTTTTTTTTTTTTTTTTTTTTTGTTGTTGTTGTTTTGTTTTGTTTCTTGGCCACTAAGACTTGGGCAGAAATTCTCTGCTGTTGTGAACCCTTGCCACGATGTACTTCTTTGTGTTAGGTCCAAAGCCAATGAGTCCCAGGGTCCACAAATTGTCACCTCTGACACTGCGAAGCAAAATGAATATTTCTTCCTCATACCTTGATTGTCTAAATTATTTTTTCACAGTGGTGAAAAAGTGGACAACACATAGGAGAATGGTATCATACTCTTTTGAGATATTCTTGGTTTAGACAGGAGTGGAATAATTGATGAAATTTAAATATAGTCATAAGTATTTTGTAATTTTTGGTATTATCATAAATTTGGTTATATAAATATTAACTTGGAGGGAAACTGAATGGAGACTGTACTGGAATTCTTTGTACTATTTTTGGAAGTACACATTTATTTCAAAGTGAAATGATTAAGAATAAAAATTAAATTTGTATTTTAATTTTAAAACATTTTATCTCTTGAAATGTAACTTTACTTTCCAATCCCTGTAAGACTTAAAACTTGAAAATCTGTCATTCTATTTTCACACATTCAAATTTTTGTAAAATTTTGTAAAAGGAGCTTATTTTGTGAGTGTGCATGATAATCCCTAGAGTAATAGAATCATTAATAATGACTAATTGAGTAACACATTTTTATAACAGGTACAGAACTAATAGACAGTTTAATTTGCACACTGTAGCAGGAATAGACAAATGCTGTTATAATTTAGTGTTTATCAGAAGTCTGTTTTAGGGTGAAAACGACGCTAGGGTTGAACTCTGGACTTCCTTAAGCACATATTCTACCACAAAACTACAGCCCCAGCACCTTAAAATTGGTTTCTAAACGTGAGATGTTCTCATGTAGGTGGTGGAAGGCTGGGTAAAATGCATATGCATTTGCATCTCTTATTCAGCAGGTCTGAGTGGAACCTGAGAATGGACATTTCGAGAATGCTTTCAGTAAGATTGACAGGATTAATCCTGGGACCTCACTTTGACAAACACTGCTGTAGAAGATGGTTCAAAATTATAGAGTTGATCTATCATCACTTCAGGTCACACTTCCTGTTCTACAAAATTGCATGCAGAAAATAAGGACACTTATTCCAACAGTGTATTTTAGAAATATTTTTTAACTAAAGTATAATTACATCATTTTCCTCTTCCTTTAATCTTCCTATTTTTCCCATATCACTTCTTTCCATCTCTTCCCATTTTTCCCTTGTCCCTATCTCAAAGTAATGGCCTCTTATTATTACTATAATATCTATCTATCTATCTATCTATCTATATCTATATATATGTATAGTAGAGAGAAAGATAGATTGATAGATAGATAGATAGATAGATAGATAGATAGATAGATAGATGCACTGATACGTAAATACAACTTGCTGAGTTGTTTTTGTTATTTATGTTATATGATTTCAGTGCTCACCACTTTGTTTTGGATAACCAATTAAGAGCTCATCCATGGGAGAGGCTAATTCTCACTCTCTTGGCAGTCATTAGTTGTCTGCAGTTCTTTGTCTAGAAGTGGGGTGCTGTGAGATTTTCTCCCTTCCTCGTTAGCATGTCTATTAATATTATCATTGTCTGGGCCTTGTTTAGGCAGCCATTTTAACCCTAGAACTAATCGAGAATAAAAATATTACAAAACGGGGCTAGAAAGATGGCTTGGCATTTAAGAGTATTTACTGCTCTAGCAGAGGAATTCATTTCAGTTCCCAGCACTCATGCTCAGTGGCTTAAAACTACCTTAACTCCAACTCCAGGGGATCTGAGACCTCTGGTCTTCACAGGCACTTGAATGCATACACACGCACAAATAAATAAATCCTTAAAAGTATTATAAAACTATGAAATATTTTCATGGTAGTCTGGAAGCATCCTTTAACAACCCAGCTCCTCAAACCGAAACATGTCTGTATTAGTTCCTTTTTTCCCTTTTTGTTTTGGTGGAATATCTAGGAAGAAAGGAAGGGTTAACTTTGGCCCGTGGCTTCAGGTAATCAATCTATTATGGTGTGGAAGGCATGGCAGAGTTCATTACAGTAGGAGATGATGGCTGTAGCTCCTTGCCAACTGTAGAATCAGGAAGCAGAGGTAGGAAGGGAGGATAGCCTGGGCTATAATCCCTAGGGTATGCATCTAATTGCTTCTTCCCGCCAGTTAGAACCCGTGCTCTAAAGTTACCACATCTCTAAAATCAATACTTCCAACTGGGGGATCAAGTGCTCAAGCCCACGAGTCTGTCAGAGACTCTTTTAGTTCAGTCCATGACAATATCCGCCAAAGGAGACAGGAAATAACATAAACATAAGTGTCATAACATTTCAAGTTTATCAGTACAGAGAATAAAAATTCTGTTAATTCTGTTATTTTATCTCTTGAAAATAAATGTATTAGCCAAGCTTTCTTTATCTACCACCTTCTTTCTCTCAACAAATATGCTTAGGTAGACTTTATATTTTTATTTCCTCTGAAAACCATGCTTTTACTGAGCTTACGAGGGCACATCCTACCCTCCTGGTATTTCTCTGTAAGACTCACTCTAGTTACTACCATTGTATGCATGCCACTTCTGCACCCTTAGGGTTATTGTGCCAGGCCATGTAGGACTGTTCGTTGCTTCCTTCTTTTGGAAGCTTGCATAGGCACCTTCTGGTAAGAAGAAATCTAGTCCTTAGAGAAAAACCATTCAGGCCAATTCCAGTGGCCTCTTGGCCCTTGTGTCTGAAATGCAGGCATCTTCAGCAATAGGGATTTATTTACTTGACACCTTTTTGGGGGTGGGACACCCAAGTGAAATAACAATAGCCTGTAGTGTTTCGAGATTCTCTTGGACAGTTCTGACTAACAAATGTTTCT